CCGCCTGGCAAGAAGCATGTCTGCACGTCATTGATGATGAGCGCTGTTCCGCCCCCCTTGCCCTCGTTGTCAAGGACAGCAGCAAGGGAAACTACCAACGCCAACAGAAGTTGCGAAAGCATAGTGCTATCACCGGAGCTGCTAGAAGACTGCCGGTTCAGTCAGGCTTGAGACCAACTTTACTGCGGATAGCGTGACTGTTCTGGAGGCTGGATCGCGGCCGGGAAAGTCACATGAGCACACATGCAGATCTACGTGAGGGCAGCTGCTGCACTTTCTCTCGTCGCAGCTGTGGCAAGCTCACCAGGCCCAGGTGGCCCTTCAGAACCAAGCTTTGGGCTTTCAACATGGTAGTGTCCCTAAATTACTGTTCCCAAAATGGGGGAAATGTATATAGGGCCCCGTATTATAATGGGAACCCAAATATAGGAACCCGTATTATAGGGAATTTAGACCAATACCCACATGCATCGAGCAGAACTTTCAACTAGTACGGTCTGCAGAGTAAGCGGGCAACCAATACGGGCCGGGCCTTCTACGCTCCGGCTTCCCACAAGCTGTCCCACGCTTGTGATGCGGCTCTTGCTTCAACACGACTTGCCACTTGCCCTACCCTAAAGAGGCGGGTAAGCACGGCTGCCGAGCGGCGGCGGAGGTGTCTCAGCCAAGAATGAAAGCTGCGGAGTCTCAAGTGATTGTGTAGACTGAGATGGGAACTGTAAGCGAACGTCTCGAAGATCCTCCTTGGCAAAAAACAAACTAAATGAATGTATGCCCCAAGGACACATCCCATTTGGCCTCTCTCTCGAGATCTGCTGTCAGGCACAGCACTCCTCCCGAGTTGAGAAAAATCGACAAATAGTGGATAAAGGCAACGGATTCTAGTACAAAACAGCAGGATGAAGGCACGAAAGCCAAACCCCTTTGGCTGATGACAGCCTTCTCCGACTGAATGAAACTGCAGACCCATCATGACCCATCAGCGATAAGCTCCAACTTTATCAACACGAGTCTGATGGAAACGCTCTGCTTCCCACAAGGCCCAGCAGCAAGATCTCTCTTTCTCTTTTCAGATAGGCTCAACTTGCAGCGGTCCTCGTTGCACATTCATAGATGTCATTCTGAGTAGCGTCGCCTTCTGAGCCTGCCATGATCCATGTAAGCGCAAAACTCTATTCATAGGATAGCCTCAAGAAATCTGCATTTGTGCGACAACGCCTTCATCTTCTTCACCCGCATCAATTTTCTGCCCAATTTCTTGGAGCACCTTGTTGCAGTCCAGGCGACATCTTTTCGCTACTTGTTCTGCAGCTGTGTAAGATGCACACATTTTTGATGCCAACCCAGCCACATATTTCCTGGCTGTGGAGATCCTCTCCCACGACCTGGTGCACTGCGTTCGTGCAGGACTGCAGTCTCCAAGACACGCGACATATGGCCTTGGCAAAGTTGCCGAACAAGCCGACTTGCTGAACACCTCAAAATGCAACGCTCAACTGAATGCAGTTTCATTCGCCAGTCTGGGGTGTAGGCACGACTCGGATTTGATGTCGCCGATCTCAGCTGATTTGGAAACATGCGCAGACTCAGAGTCAGCTCCGCCCCTTCCTCGGTCCTCCCGCTAAGATCTGTTTCGAAGAGCTTTTCAACTGTTGATTGTCTGAGCCTTCTGCAATTGACCGGGACTTTTCATCTGGCTGGTCGAAGACACGGATCGTTGCATGGCCCTCGCTTTGGCGAAGTTGGACCTAGCAGGCCGGACGGAAACGGCTTTGCATGCAGACCAGCTAAGTTCTGCGGCTTTCCTTGCCCAACAATTGCGACTTAGACTTTGGGCGTCGACAAAGGTCACCTGTATGACGCTTGCGTGCTTTGTCGTGGACATCGCAACCTTTGAAATGTCGTTAGTTTTGTGCCTCGACACTGCACCATGGCATCTATTGCAGCACTCTTCTGGTTCAGTTGTAAAAGGCCCTCTGAAACGATCATTCGTTAAAGTGCTTAGCAACTCTTCCTCTTTCTAGCCTGGTCCTTGGTATACTTTGCATTTCATTTATTAGTCAAAGTGATTGACATCTACATTTGCTGTCTGGCACGGATAGATGATAGATTTGTGCATCTCGGTTACTATCTTTGCTCGGTGCAACTTTGTTCGGTGCAAGGCCTGCTTTTGAAAGCCAGCCCACTTCCCTCCGAAATTTGGCCGGTTTATATCCTTTGCGCATTGTTGGATTTTGAAGGCACGGCCTAGGGCATGGAATGGTTCTCAACTCCCAAAACTGCAGGTGTCTTGCAAAGCCCTGCTCAACAGCTTCGCGGCACCTCTCTTTGAGCTGGGAAAGAGTGGTAAAGGAGTGCGGCCCGCACACCTTCGCAACGTTTCACACAACACGCAGATATGCGCAGTTGTTGGCTCCAAGAGATCAAAGCCTTGCTGGTCTCAGAACTTGGCCTATCTCGGCAAAGGGGTCCCAGCGCTGCAAGTCACACAGACGGCCGCGCCTCGGGCCATTTTTTGAGCTTGAATAGATGTTGCGCCAGATTTGGCCGCTGAGCTGAAAGCCCCCAGTCATCTCCCGCAATGCCCTGCCTCAGACACATGAGAAGGTGAAGCTGCTGGCCGCAGCAGGCAGTCTGAATAACTCCCGCACATCATGAAGCGCATGGCCAGTTCGAAATGCCCCGCTGTGCACGTGGCTCTCTGAGATGGCGGCCAACCATAAAGGGCACCCGCCATCTGCCTGCAAAAGACAATCTAGTTGCTGCCTTCATCTTCACATTGAAGTTGCGGTGCTTGGGCTCAGCCATCAGCCCAGCAACTGCAGCAGTGGTGTCTGCCTGTCCAAGAAAGGAAATTGAAGCCGATGCAACAACTCAACTCTCAAACTAAAACCTGGCTGGACCACGTCTCCAAGAAGATTCACGACTCGCACGATGCAGCTGGCGAAGCCTTAGCAGATCTTCGCGGTGTCTCTAAGTCTTAGCGGCTTTGGGTATACGCTATACTGGCCACACCAAACTGCGTTGTGCGCCTGCGGTGCTTTTGCTGCGATTGTATGCTCTTGTGGCATCTCTGATATCCTGTCCAAAAAACTGAAGAGGGCATCTTGCCATCAACGCAGACCTTTTAGTACTGCTGCTCACACACCAAACCCCATGGTCCTATGGTGCTGAAGAAGACGTTAAAGATTCTACGTCTAAATTGCGATAGGCTTGGCCTTCGGTCACCGCATCAAGGAAATTATTTTACTACTCGGAACTCAAACTGAACCTCAGTCATTCAAACACATGAAGCACTGCAGCGAGACTTGTAAATTGAGACGGCTCGCTGCATGCTTGTTACGAAGACGCACTGAGGTGGATACGTCGGCGACTGTGGCTGTGTCACCATTCTCGCTGCACTCCATCCATCCATCCGGATCTGATAGGTCAACATTCCTGAACGACAGGGAACCCGGGCAGCTCAATTCTCTCGGATGGGCGTAGAATGGTGTCGCAGGAATGCTTGATTGATCATAGACTCTCGAACTTGCCCCAACTGGTCTCGACGGTGACTCCAAGAGGATACCATTTTACCGGCTCAGCTCCTCGACAGTCAAAGACCGCAACCTGAGGTATAAATCTTGCAACACAAAACTTATGATGGCGACATCTATAGAAGCAGCCGAGCAGCTGGCTGCATCGAACCTCCCTCTGAGTACTGGCCCAAGGGTTTGTCCTTCACATCTTTATCCTTGATAGGTGTAGATCTGGAGGGTGTCACTACCTCAACGCTATGCCAGCTGCTGGCAGAACCTGCCCGTCACCCCACGAAATGCACATGCTGTAGATAGGGCTCGGACACTGATCGACGAGGGCGCCTGAAAAGACTTATCTTCACAAGTAGCTTTCAAGTTCCACGCGGCATGTTTTTGCAGACTCCAACCTTGGCACCCTCCCACTTGATCAGAAAGTTGGCAGTCCCCTTACTGTTGGGAATCTCCTCCTGACATACAAAGGACCCGGTTGCCAGTCGATGATTAAGCTGCTGAGCCGAGTAATGGTTGCGAGTATCCTCATTGGTGGGGTCAATGGTCACCCCTTGTCTGGTTTCCTTCAGCAGCGTGGTAACAACATAGCAGAGCGTGTTGCCCATTCTCCTCAGAGTATGGAAATGCCAAGGTGCCGTTCCTCCAGACTGCTGGACATCCAGCTTCCAAGTTTCGTCATCAGGGAAGACAAGGCGCTCAACTCCCTGGCACGGAGCGTGAGCAGCACAGCCTTCACTGCCCAGAGGTTTTTGGCTTTTGCCAGCCTCCATCTCAGCTTTGACAAACATTGCTATGAGCGGCATGTGCACACTATGTATGGGTTCCTATGGATCTGGTTCATCCGGCTACATGAGCCTCAGCTTTGCTGCAAGGAAGAAGATGGATACAAAGTGGCGTCATTTACGTGAGAGTGTTGCTGGATTTCCTGGGCGACCTGCTCTTCGCTGCCCCATGGCGTGTGTCTGTGAGACACATCAGCTATGTACAGGTAAAAAACTATGAATTACTCATGGGCACTCAGGCCCACATCTTCCGCTCTGACAGTTAGTCCAAGCAGGGCGGCCACCTGTGACAAACGGCCGCAAAGGCCAACATGTCTACCGGTCTACCTACCACAGCCATCCATACTGAGCAACTGGCAGCAAATACCAGAAGGTGTGCTCCTGTAACCCAGAATCCCAAACATCACCTCGAAAAAAATGCCCACAAAGGCTCCTGTCATGAAGGAGACTCGCTTCCCCGTATTCTCCAGATCCATAGCAAGCCAACTCTCAACTGCACAGGCCGCCATGCCTGCAGAAGCAACAATGCTGGCGACAAGAGTAGCAGGAGAACATGCGTTGCATGCGCTGCCTGCGCGACGGCAAGCACAAAACTCGACATGGCGCGCCTGCGACCATTACGAAGACGAAGTACTTGGTAAATGATACGTCAACTCCACCTCAAACGAGAAAAGCACAGCTGCGCCAGCTGTGCACATGCAGAAAAATTGCTTCAGTTCAGGTTCGTTCCCAGTCCAAGGTGCTTCCCAGCTTCAGTTTGGGATGCCGGAGCTTCACCCCTTTCATGAGGCCATATACGCCGACCAGCGCACCCAAGCAGGCCCAGCCAAGGCTTATGCATAGCCCGTACCAGCCTGCACTTGCAACTTCTCTCAACTCATCGCCCTGCCAGAGCCGTTGGACACACGAACAAAACCCTCGAAAGTTATATTCTGCCGCGCCACCATGGAAATAGACCTGGTTGCTGCGAAAAGTGGCTCGTCATCTCATGACAAGTCTTGTCATGCTTGTCGGCATGAATAAAGACTCCAACGTGACTGTCGCATGGATGCAGTCTGGCGGCAGATCCAGGCACGGTAGCTATGACCAGCAATCCAACAAAGTTTCGAGTTACAACCAGCGTCTCAACCATGGCGAAATCAACACATCATTCTGCGCATGCTCTTGAAGTATGCCTGAGTTGAACTGCCACTTTTGCCTTGTCGGACCCCTGTGGTGTCAAACGCAAAAACATGCTCCTTCATGCTCTCAAATTCAGTACTTTGACTCCAAGCTTTACTTGAGCCGAGTCAGGCTCGTTCTGGGCACGTGCACCAAGTGCACAAGCTGACATTAAGATGTGTCTGCCATACATCACCCGTGTGGCAGATAAGTGTTGTTCGAAACTGTGCATGATTGTCGGGGTGATGCATGCTGAAAATCACCCCAAAAAAACAGCTGGCACGCCCATCAAATCACTTCAACAACCTACTTCACAAACGTTCATTCACTTGCCAACTTGCTGGCTTATACACAACATAAGTTCATTCTAGGCGTGTCGCAGGTGCTGCGCTGAGGTGTGTACTATGCGTATGCCATAAAGCCCACAGCGCCATTGCGAGGCCGTCCATGCCTGTGTGTGAGCTGGGCACCTTCTGTGATGTGGCCACAAGCTTGCAAGGCCATGGCAGTAAGCACCCCAATACGTGTCGATGATTGGGTGCCCATTGTACCTGGTTCCAGTGCTCAGCCTTGTTTGAAGGTCTCATCAGAAAGCAGCAAAGTCCAACCTCCGGTCCTTCCAGCGTTCTCTCATTGCCTGTGATGCACATCGCAATTCCCTGTCACACGTTCTCTCACTGATTCTAACACCAAAGGGTTGTACCGTTGTATCGGATCTTTCTTTGTGTGGCTTGGGAAGGCGTCAGTCTCATGAACCAAGCTAACGTCCAGGTACAAATCGAGGCTGTCGCGGTTTTGCGCACACAGGAATTGAGAGTACTATTGGCAGCTCTGATTGACAACGTGCTTTCAACATCTGGTGCGGTCTCAACCAGCATGGAATGTCTGGGTTCTTTTTCATGCCAGCACCACCAGGTCAGGCCAGCAGCATGTCATGCGCGGACATCCTCTCTCTGACAGATATGCGCTTTTAGCACATACCCTATGCTCTGTCCTCCTCTCCTCCACAAATCTCGGCAAAGACAAGTCATGATACGAAATGAAGTAAACAACAGTCCTCACGCCCATCTCGCATCAGCAAAAAATCTAAAATTAATGGATGCTACAAACAGACGTATACATGCGGTACGGATGTCACGCGGCACACGGCACATGTTCATTTGTACAGCATGAAGACGGTTCAGAAAAAAAAAAAAAAAAACTGACCCACTGACCCTTGCGACTGAGGGTCTGGTGTGCTCCACAACATTCCACATCTGTCAGTGCAACCACACTTCATAGCTGGCACAGCTTCAACAGCATTCCAGGGTACAAGGATGATGAAGTCCCATCTTGAGGGAGCTCCATCAGCGAGCGCATGCGCGGCAACTGCTTGAGCTGTGTCACCTTACCCCTCTGCAAGGACATAGTATACTGGAAAATCTGGAAACCCCTCTCCAAGAGACTGAACTGCCAACAGTCGCTGCTTCTCTTATAAGGCGGGCAACATGTGCCGCACAGGGCACACAGCAGACAGTGTTCAGTCTGAGAATTTGGCCGGTAAGGACATGACAAGACTAAGACAGGTAGTTACGGGCCAAGTAGGTAACGTTTTTGAATTTCTGGCCTGCAATCCCCTCTGCGTGTCTTCCCCTTGCAATCCTGCACCTGGAGTGTTGCCTTGTGACAGGAGCACCTGCTTCTACTCAGGCGGGACAGCACGAACACTTTTTGCAGATTTTGCCGCATGCCTCGTCGGCATGAAAATGGAAATGCCTGAACCCATGGCATAAGCCACCAAGCTACATTTCATCAGTACTGCCCACTCCTGTCATGCTCCGCTACATGCGCTGCGCAAGCTCAGGACTTACCAGGGCTCATCAGGAGTTTTAGGCCGTGTTAGTTTGGAGTTGCATATTAGGGAGGCAGAAGCAGTCGCCCAACTCACTACAGTGAAGGTGAGATACATAGTTAGGAGTCATTCAGAATCTAATAATAGACTTATCCTGGTAAACTGGAAGGGGCCAGCTTGCATCGGGAGCGCAAGACCGCGATGCGGAAGGTCTGAAACAGGGTGTGGGAACGCAGGGGCCCATTAACACCTTCCAAAGCAAACACAAAAACAACTCCAATTTGACTTCGTCACAATGCCCTTGCCAGAACAAGATGGGAGGCGATGCCTTCTTTTTCAGATTCCTTGAGCACAGTTTTGGAATAAAGTCCTCAAGCTAGTCGAGGACTATCGCAGTTGCTTTACTAGATGTTTGAATGATTTTTCAATGCTCTACTGCAGAACACAAGCCATGATTTGCTGATATTTTTCAAAGCCATAGACCTGGCAGACTACCAGTGCTAGGCATAGCATGACAGGCATGATAAGCATTTTCAGCAACCACAACAAATTGCCAGACACCATCAGAAAAGGGATCGATACAAGTCCCTTTACCTGGTCAGGATTGCACGTCCCAACCAGCAGAAGTCTACGCCGCAGTGTTGGCAGTGCACCTAACAACAGTTTTAGTTTAAAATGGGGTGACGCAAAAGATCATGTCATTTCCCTTTGCGTCAAACCTCCGCTTCCCGATAGCATCCCCCAAGCATTGAAGCAGCTGTAGCCTGCATTCGTGCGGCTGTTCCACGCCCCGGGGCCGATCATGTTACAAGCTTGCGAATGCGGGCATGTGTCCAGTGCGACACAATCCAATCCACCAATCGCTCGAGCAGCAGTTACGAAGCTGCAGGAGCTCCTTCGGTTACCTATTTGGTGCTTCCATGTATGCAATTCTGGTCTGCAAGGTTACGTGGGTCTAGTTGGTGCTTGATTTTGTGTCTTGCTACGATTTGCAGCCAGGATGGCTGTCGCCTGCAATGACTGCAGGTTTACTAGCCTCGCGTTTCCACTCTGTGTTCTTAAGGCTATCGAGAAGCAATGATATCACCGTCACGCAATGCAGAAATCTACATGTTGCTGGGCTGCCTAATCAATCAAAATTCTACGTGACGGTGTGCTTCAGTTCCTTCTCTCACTAGATGTTCATCTTGCGTCCTGCCAAGAAGTTCTTTGCAACGGAAACCCTTCTCCAGAACCAAAAGCCCCGTGCGCACTTCAAGCCTGATCTCTCTGACTTCGTTTTCATTCCTTCATATTCACCCGCTGCATGCGTTGATTAGGTAGGGTCTGTATCTCTGCAATCCTTGAATCGATGCCCGGGAGGCTCAGATCCAGAGTGCTGTATAAAACAAGAGATCGATGCTTTTTTGCAACAGACCACGAGATGTGTATTTTCCCTTGCTGGGGCCCAGGTTGTTAGGTGAGCGGAGCCCTTGTGCTCGCCTGCATGTTTTGCTGTGGGGTCTCCCCTGTTTTTGTACCGTTTCCATGAGTGGCATACAGATCGTTCTTGGTAGAAGTTTTCTTCTGTTCGGCTCTGGACCCAGTTGAGGGTTGTGGGTTTAGGTTTTGGTTGAGGTCTTAGCGCGTAGTGTCTACAGAATATGGGTTAGGGTTGAGGGGTTTCAGATTCAAAGTTGTTTTGGGTGAATGGTCCAGGTCTGGCAGCGCAGCAATTTTGAGGGTTTTGAGGTCTCGCTCGCACGGAGGCTTGGGCCTCAAGGGCATGGGATCGCATACACAGGTTAGGACTTTGAGATGTTTGAGGCGTGGGCATATGGCTGCGAGTGTGCGGTTCGGGTCTGCAGAGTTCAGGACTTTTGGGCTTAGGCGTTGATGCTTCGGGTTTACGGGTGCAAGTTGCAGTGTTCATGGCTTTGAGGTCAGTTGGGCTTCACATGCACAGCGCCGACGATCCAGGATTCAGAGTTTGGCTTTCCGTGTTGAGCTGCACGCTGAACACTTAGCTTTTTGGGTCGAGCAGTGTGAAGGTTTCATGTTTAGTGCAGGTTTGAGAATCTGATGAGATGGCTTGAGGCAACTGTGACCAAGCTGACGCTGCATTCTGAATTGCTGCTCGGATTGTGCACTGACGCAACCGAACCCACTCTCCAACCAAAAAGCTTGTAATTTGATGTGGCCGGTGGCCTGCTCATGCTTGCGTGTATTCTCTGTCGGTGCTCTGTCAGTTGGCATGCTGGCCATTTTTCTCACGTTGACATGGGCCTTGGCTCTGTCAAGTCTCACAGCTCAGCTTCTCTACTTGCCTATCTTTGTTTGCTTGCAGGCGGCCATCTTGCCTCCCAGATCTGGAGCTCCGGCGACTTCCAGTCCCAGCTGGCTTCCTTCACGTGAAGGCAGTTCGAAGCAGGTTGAAGTTCGAGGCCTGCCTTAGCCAGCCTTGGGGCTGGGAGGTGTGCAGGTAAGAACTGCGCGAATCCGAGCAAGTCCATCTGCTCTGCCGCATCCTGCAACATGAAGTGACGACACAAAGCCTCTGAAGGCAACAGAGATTTCGCACCTGCCATGCTTCTGAAAACCGATAGGTCCTCATCTTGGAAGAGGCTTAGCAAAAGAGCAGGACAGCACTGCCAAAACAGCCTGAAAGCCACTTGCAAGGAACTCGTCGATAGTTTTAGCCATGAAGTCTCTGGTCTCCTTAGCTCTGTGATGGCTGACTCTTTGGGGAAATAATTGCTCCACCTAGCAGCCGGCGGGTGAGAGCTTCTGGCTGTGCGAACGAATGGCCTCCAACACACTTAAGACTTCTTGATAGCACAACTGCAGCGTCACACCTTGGCAATGAAGAAGGCCATGAAAGCACAGCAGGCTGCCGCATCGCAACTTGGATGCCTTAGCAATTCACCACCACTCGTCACGCAGGCCGGCAGTCTGAAGGTTTTGTTATTGTATGATCTTGAAGTTTGAAATTCTCAAGCAGTGGCAAGAAGACAGCAATCCCCAGCATCCTGGGGCACATGCGTGGCACGACTCTGTAGAATGGCCTTCTCCATGGCCTGAGCGACTTAAACACGCAAAGAACCGTAGAGCAGGCTGCTCGGCTATGCTGCTGACCCAGCCTCCACTGGGTTCAGATGATA